TAAAGATAATTATGCTACTATACAATATCCATTTTTTTATTTATTGGCACACTATTTAGGTTAACTATTATCTAATCATTTGATATTAATTAATTTATAATTATAAATATATTTTATTGAATAGTGAATTATATATCATTGGAAAGCTTATGAATTTAGATGAATTTAGGTTCAAGTTTCACTCAAATCCGAGTTAAAATGAATAAGTTATGCTAGTGTAAAGATTCAAATTTGAATTAATCCGAGAAATTGCGAAAAGCTACTGTTCATAAACGATTTATTTTTAATCCAAGACATATCCATTGACAAGTAGGACCCCGGGTTTATTCCTTTTTCCTACCGAATTATTTTCTAAAGGGAAATAGGAAGAGCTAATGACAAGTGGGGCCCACATGTCATAAACTCGAGACCATAAAACTTCTATAATTAGATTTTTAACCACCCGGACCCACATGTAATAGACTCAACTAATAAAGATTAAGAAGGGGATTACTATTCACTAAACACGTGGGGCCCACTCTAATCTCTCCTCTCCTTTCTCTCTCTCTCTTTTCTTTTCTTTTCCTTTCTCTCTCTTTTCTTTTCTTCTCCTTTCTCCCTCTCTCTTTTCTTTTCCTTTCTCTCTCTCTTCTTTCCGGTTTCTCTCCTCCTTCCCTCTTCTTTCTCTCCCTCGGCTTCTCCCTTCCTCTCTCTTTCTTGGCTCCCTCTCTACCCGGCGGCACGGCGACAAACAAGGGGGGGGGGGGGGCAGCGGCTCACCGACGGCGGCGGTGGCGACGACGGCGGCGGCGACGACGGCGCACGGCGCGGCACACTGAGGCGGCGGCGCGGCGGTCACGAATGCGGCGGCACGATAGAACGAGGGCGGCGGCGCGGCGGCTCGAAGGCGGCGACGCGGCGGCGCGTGGAGAGGGGGAAGAGGGAGAGGAGGAGGAAGATGGAGTGAGGAGAGGGGAGAACGGTGGCTCTTATAGGGGAGAGAGGGAATAAGGGGAAGAGGGAAGAGAAGGGAGGGGGTGACGCGACGGCGGCGCGGGGCTCGGGGCGGCGCGGGGCTCGGCGCGCGGTGAGGGCGACGGGCGACGCGACGACGACGGCGGAGTGTCGACGGGACGGCGCGGCGCGGCACGGGGCTCGGCGCGCGGCGATGGTGACAAGGCGGCGCGGGGCTCAAGACGACGGCGACACGACGGACGCGACGCGCGGGCGCAGGACAGCGTGACAGCGGTGGCGCGCGGCGCGAGGCAGTGACGGCGATGGCGCGCGGCGCGGCAGCGGCGACGCGACGGGCAGGCGGCGCGGCGTGGGGCGCGGGCGCGGGGCGGCGTGGCAGCGGCGGCGCGCGGCGCGAGGCAGTGACGTCGACGGCAGCGCGGGGCAGGGACGGCGATGGCGACGTCGGCGCGGTGGCAGGCGACAGAGAGAGGGGGAAAGAGGAGGGGCTGGGTTAGGGGACCACGTCGAACACCTGGTGGCCGATGAATAGTGTCTTTTCCTATTTAATCCCTATTTTAGCCTATTTTTTGTGTAAATTTGATTCTATAAATCCTAGATTTTGTATAAATGAAGTTACCCAATATTTGTGTCATTCCAACCAATGGATTTATTCTAGATTAATATTACTCATATTTTATTTATATAATTTATTTGAATTTTTAATCAGGGTTAATTCTTATTATTATTATATATTTTTCAAAGTTTTCCTATTTTTCTTCTTTTAGGGTTTTGGTAGATTTATAAATTGAGAAAAGTTGCAAATTAAATTTGTATTTACTCCCAAGCATTTAGGTGACCGTATTAAGTGTTCAAATGTGAATTTGCCCAAAATTTAATATTGTCCAATATTTAAGGTTTATTAAAGATTCTATAATTTTCTAATGAGACCGTTATTAACACAATAGCACATTAGCTCAATTTATCTATATGTTAGTTTATTTTATATGGAGGGGTTTAATATATCAAATTTCAATCCCTGAATGCAATTAGGAACTTGGTGCAAAATCGATCTACATATCGAATTAAATACTCCCATAATTCTATTATATATATAGAGAGCTCAGTTTATTTGAATGATCATCATTTCATGTGTACACATATTATGGCACCCACCTACATTATTCAAATATTTTAATATTTGATAAAATAGGTTAATAATAACTTTTCTTTTATTTGATTTTAATATCTTGTGCATAATTATTTGTAGGATTAAATATATTCCCGTAAATCATATCTATTGCTTAAATGTAGTTCTTTTCTTTACTTTCTTGGTGATCATTTACGGTTTGGCAAGCAATAGCAATCATAACAACCAGCATGATGCAAAAGTTTTAAAAAGTTCGAAATTTTTGTGATTTTTGTCTTGAATTTTCAGGATGTTACACAAACTCTCAACACACATACCATCCAATATCTTCGCCATAGCCTCCCAACGATGTCATCGTCATCACCAACTGGACCTAATCTAATTAACCCATATTTTTTTTGGTTCGAAAGGAGCCCTGAGACGCCTGACATGTTATAAATGTTCTCATCATGGAAGTATAAACTATGGTATCCTGAATTTCCTGTCTACGAGACGAACAAACTCAAGAAACCACAAGAAATTAGTAAGCCTGCAAAACGAGGCACTGAATGCCAATGGGAGGTGACAAGGTTCACTGAACATTCCACAGAAATGAGAATGATGACTAAATGAGGATGCAAATTCATCTGTTTAGCTTAAGATTTAAGTCCAGCTGAAACCAAAGATGTGTTCATGGTCCAATGGACCTTGAAATCCGAACCATATACAGTTAGTTTCAGGTGCATTGCAAGTTTGCAACATGCCATTCAGCAAACTAAACAAACACTTTTAGCCTTTGACCTATATGGAGCACTGTGATGCATGCTATTCAGACTATCTATCTTCTGAAGGAATGAGCCAATACATCTTTTCTGCAAGTTGCAGTAAGTGGAGACAAGTACCTTGTGAAATAACATGCTCCTTGCAGTAATGTTCCTCAGCAGAGGCTCTGGTTCTGGTAACCATCAGTTGTGAAAGACTGAAAGTGAAGAGAATAGAATAAAGACACTTAGAAAGAAGGTTTTCTTTATGGGATTGACTAGCACATACACTGAGAATAATCTTTACATGTTTCCAGGATTGAACATATAACCTCACAATTCATTTTTATGTATAATGTAATGTAATAAATAGTTGGACCATCTTGGTCCCACTATTCCCTTAAAAAGACCTTAAGATTTAGACCATGCTTGGGTGAGTTTCGGATTTAATTCGAAGCTGATTTTAATTTTTTGAATTTAATTTTAGGATTCTCTTCATCATTGCCGTTGCACGAATATATTCTTTTATGATTTCTAAGAAGGCAATTACAAAATCTACCTAATATTATTCTTAAAGCCTAAACACTAAAATTCAAAATAGCTTACAGTTCCAATCGAAAGTAGGGCCAGGCACAGAATTCGTATATCATATTTTTGCACAATACTTCCCTTTTTCTTTTTTTTTTTAGAAAAACAACTAGATCAAAGTGGTCCGGTTGGGTATATAGTACCAAGCCAACTAATAGTGTTTTATGACGATCAACCATCTTACCATCTTTTAAGGACGTCAATGACATTTAGCAGTGGAGATATCAACGGCGAAGCCTAGAAGATTGCCCGACAAGCCTGGGAGCTGGCTCCGCTGCTACTTCATGGCAATATTTCTGACCTTCTCTTGCATCCAAGAGCTATGATCTCCACTTACTCTCTGCCTATCCTTACTTTGCAAATGCAATGAAACCATAAGCCCAACTAAAATACCTTTGCCTTAAACAATCTCGTCAGGTATGAAGATATGCTACCTCCTTTTCACTTAGTGGAAATACTGATTGCCACACAATTGTACTTAACTATTGCAGTTAATTATCTCAATTCTCAACCGTACCGGTTTTGCAACTTTATGCCAAAGCCACATCATTCACTCTCTCTCCCCCACTAACACCCCAAAAACTAATCTTGTTTTCACCAACATGGCCTCACCTTTAGGTCAAAATCAAGTCAAACACCTTTCTCCAGCCTTGTTTATCCTCACATTTTGTAGAGATAACCACAACGAGGGTAGAGAGAGAGAGAGAGAGAGAGAGAGCACTGGCATATACTCCGAAAATTGTTAATTAGAGCATGTACGCTGATACAGAAATAGGTTTTGAGTTTAATTTCTTGCTCCTCAATTACGTTTGATAACAGTATTGCCAATAGACAATAGAGACAAGTTTCAATACTATCTAGCCCGCCAACTAGTGGCGGAGTCATTGCCCGGCGACCCTAGGCAGCTGCCCAGGCTCGTCATCGATCACTCAATAGAATCTTAATACTTTTGCAAGGATTAAAAATATATTTCTTTAGCAAATACTATATTTGTCTCAAAATAAGTTTATTTTTCATCCATCTCATACTGATATATAAAAACAAAAAAAGATTAGAATATCTCTGCTTTATCACATCGCAATACAATTATTTCTCACTTTATCTACTTTAAATATAATTATTCTTGCTTTTACAAACTCCGATGTGACGATTATTCTAAAAGTGAACTTATTTTGGGTAAATAGGATGAGCTAAAAATGAATTTATTACTGAATGGAGGAAGTACAAACGTAGTTTGATTTAGCTAGCCTCTAAACTTTTTTTTTTGGCTCTGGCATTGCCGCCAACACAACCAAACAACCAATCAAAGTAAAAAAATAATACTAGAAATTTTTTTTAAAAAAAAGTCTGGATAAGGTTTTTTCCGAACACGCAAAAGAATTGCACGTCAATATATTAAAAGAAAAGAGTTATAGTGATACGACGCAATTAGCCAGACCGGCTTATGCCAGGGGAAGGAAGAAAAAGCTAAATAAGAAAAGGCTGAACAAGGTAGGCGCCATTGTGTTAGTTGCATGGTCACTGGGCAATGTCAAAGACTCCCAAGCCCTATATATATACACACATGTATGGCAGTGCCTAGTGCACACAAGCCGCCATTGCAGCTGCAAGCAAGGAACAAGGCCAAGAACACCTCTCCTCTACTCTGTCCTCCTCCTGTTCGTCCGAGGTCGATGGCAATGGCCGCCGCCGTCCTCGTCGCCATCGCATTGCCGGTCTCGCTGGCGCTGCTGCTGGTGGCCAAGGCCGTCTGGGTCACCGTCTCATGCTACTACCTCACGCCGGCGAGGATCCGGCGGGTCCTGGCGAGCCAGGGCGTGCGCGGCCCGCCGCCGCGGCCGCTCGTCGGCAACCTCCGCGACGTGTCGGCGCTCGTCGCCGAGTCCACCGCCGCCGACATGGCCTCCCTCAGCCACGACATCGTCGCCCGCCTCCTCCCCCACTACGTCCTCTGGTCCAACACGTACGGTGAGTGTTCGTCCGCGGTTCGCCGCCGGCGATCGACGATCGGATCGACACTGACACCGGCGACATGGGTGCGCGCTTGCAGGGAGGCGGTTCGTGTACTGGTACGGGAGCGAGCCGCGGGTGTGCGTGACGGAGGCCGGCATGGTGCGGGAGCTCCTGTCGTCGCGGCACGCGCACGTCACCGGCAAGTCGTGGCTGCAGCGGCAGGGCGCCAAGCACTTCATCGGCCGTGGCCTCCTCATGGCCAACGGCGCCACCTGGTCGCACCAGCGCCACGTCGTCGCGCCGGCGTTCATGGCCGACCGGCTCAAGGTAACGCACCGTCTCGCCACGGCGGTGCCATTGCCGGCGGCGGCGGCAGAGCAGAGCTAACCCCACCGCCGTTTCTTGGCACAGGGGAGGGTGGGGCACATGGTGGAGTGCACGAGGCAGACGGTGCGGGCGCTGAGGGATGCGGTGGCGAGGTCCGGGAACGAGGTGGAGATCGGCGCGCACATGGCGAGGCTCGCCGGCGACGTGATCGCGCGCACCGAGTTCGACACGAGCTACGAGACCGGCAAGAGGATCTTCCTCCTCATCGAGGAGCTCCAGCGCCTCACCGCCCGCTCCAGCCGCTACCTCTGGGTCCCCGGCAGCCAGTGAGTCACCGCCATTGATGCTCTCCTCTGCTCCTCCTTGGAGTGGAGGCTGCACCGCAACCATTCGACGAAATGCTCCTCCCATTCACGAGCAAAAGCTAGGAGGCACTGGACAAAAAGCCTCAGCATCTTAAAAACACGAGTACATGGAAAAACAGTGAAATTTGATATAAAAAACTTTCATATTAAATATATTTAATAATTTTATAAAATAATGATAAAAAGACTGAACCCATATCCTTACCAACAAGTAAAAAAAAAAAACCGGAGCAGTAGCAACCCAATATTTTTTTAATTCTTAGAATGTTCGTCGTTAAGCAGAGCTGACGGTTACACTTTTTTGTCACCAGCTCTATTTAAAAGCGGACGCTTTGCACATATACATATATATTTTTTAATTGAATGTCCGTATATATAGGAGTAAACTTTTGCACAACGATCGACGACGTATTTCACGAGAGAAATGTGAAAAATAATTTACTACGGTATACATTTTTATTTTATTTACGTGGTTAATAGTTCTAATACCATGGTTTTTTTTTTCTCCAGGTATTTTCCGAGCAAGTACAGGAGAGAGATAAAGCGGCTGAACGGCGAGCTGGAGCGGCTGCTCAAGGAGTCCATCGACCGGAGCCGGGAGATCGCCGACGAGGGCCGGACGCCGTCGGCGTCGCCGTGCGGCCGTGGCCTCCTCGGCATGCTGCTGGCCGAGATGGAGAAGAAGGAGGCCGGCGGCAATGGCGGCGGCGAGGTCGGGTACGACGCCCAGATGATGATCGACGAGTGCAAGACCTTCTTCTTCGCCGGCCACGAGACGTCGGCGCTGCTCCTCACCTGGGCCATCATGCTGCTCGCCACGCACCCGGCGTGGCAGGACAAGGCGCGCGCCGAGGTCGCCGCCGTCTGCGGCGGCGGCGCGCCGTCGCCGGACAGCCTCCCGAAGCTCGCCGTGCTCCAGATGGTGATCAACGAGACGCTGCGGCTGTACCCGCCGGCGACGCTGCTGCCGCGGATGGCGTTCGAGGACATCGAGCTCGGCGGGGGCGCGCTCCGGGTGCCGAGTGGCGCGTCGGTGTGGATCCCGGTGCTCGCCATCCACCACGACGAGGGCGCGTGGGGCCGCGACGCGCACGAGTTCAGGCCGGACAGGTTCGCGCCGGGACGGCCGCGGCCGCCGGCGGGGGCGTTCCTGCCGTTCGCCGCCGGGCCGCGCAACTGCGTCGGGCAGGCGTACGCCATGGTGGAGGCCAAGGTCGCGCTCGCCATGCTCCTCTCCAGCTTCCGCTTCGCCATCTCCGACGAGTACCGGCACGCGCCGGTGAACGTGCTCACGCTCCGGCCACGCCACGGCGTGCCCGTCCGCCTCCTGCCGCTGCCGCCGCCGCGCCCATAGGCGGGCATGGCGTGTTCTTCTTGGACTACAATTTTGGAAACTTTTTTTTTCATTTTTTTGAGTTGAGAGAAAATTTTGTAGTTCTATTAATTCGGGTTACCCAATGCTTTGGAAGAGTACGTAAATTTTATCGGCAATTAATGTTTTTGTAACGAGTAAATAATCTTAGTGTCCTCAAATGGACATATATGTAAAATGTTGAGCATGGAAACGGAGGATATTGGAGTATTTGTTTTTTCGATAATGAAATTTATTCGAGATGTATCCAACCACTTGGCTCGAGTCCTATTTATATTTTAGAAAATGGAATAAAATAAAATTCCGGCCTCCTTCCGAAATGGGTGAACAGAACTATCCCCGAATGCTATATAGGAAACTATATGTTTTCACTCTTTCATTCTTAGGTTAAAGTCTTTTGGGAAACCAAGGTTTCAAATTAGTATCCATAAAAATATGTCTTTTGGGTCAAAATGATTATCGGAATTTACTAGATAAAGTTTTTTGAAAATAATAATCTAATTAAAATTATTGGTATCAACAATAAATGAGGCTATAATAACAAATACATGCAAAAACATAAATTTTAATCCTGATACAAACTCACTAACCGGTTACCACCGATTCTTTGAACCCCTTTGACACTTTTAAAAAGAAGTTGAGGGAGTATGCATGTAACCATCTCAATGAGTTCCTTTTTACGAGTAGATGGTTCATGATCTTGATTGTTTCTCCTGTTATTTCTATTGAATAAAAGCGGATTTAACTATCTAGGATTAAGATAAAGGACCCATAGTCAACCAAGATACAACTGACTAATAGTAACACGCACAATAAAGAGCACTGCTACACGTACTAATTTTTTCTTACTAAATTTGTACTAACAATCATCTCAACCGTTTAATTTAAGCAGATGAAAGTTATAAAAAATCTAGATAGACTCATAGCATGACATGTCAGTGTTAGTAAAAATTTAGTAAGAAAAAGTTAGTACGTATAGACTTTTCCCACAATAAATATATATATTTTAGACCTTTGTGGCTCTTTCTTTACTTCCAATATGGCACTTGATTGTTGCTGTCATAGATAACACCATTGTTAGTGGCTTGAAATCATACACGACTCCCATCTTGCACATATTTTAATTCTTCTGGTGTGATATACTATACTAGCAGTCCGATAATGCCGCACATAATAGCATATTTAGTATAGACCTCTATGGCTGCTTCTTTTCTTCCAATATGGCATTTTACCTCTACATCCAACACCGTTATTAGCGGCTTAAAACCCTATATGACCTACAAATATAAGTACTACTAGCAATCACTATAAAAGAAAAACCGCACCCGAAACCTAACTCATTGTTTTAAAAAGCCCTCTAGTGCTCTTTGTCTGTTTGCTGCCATGCACCTGCTGGGATCTGATCTTAGCTCACTAAAAAAATCATATCAAGTACAGATGACCATATTACCTTATTGTTTATCAATGAAAACAACGGAACCAGGGTGGTCCAATTGGTTATTATACGAATATAAACGGAATATTGTATATTTGTGTTTTACAGGGATATGCAGAAGTTTAGAGATCATTTAGCTCCATGGATAACCATGTATGAACCATATTTTTTATACATAGCCTCTAATGCAAGACATTGAATTTAAACCATGTAGGAACATACCAGAAAATTTGAAAACATTTTGCAAGAAATCCAATATTGCATGACATAGCCATATATTTGATTTACATTATTTACTCTTATCTATGAGCTCACAGCACATAATCATCAGAACGCTAAATAACAAACATAATTTCCATTCCTATGGTCTGATAGCGAACGAGCATTGCTCTCAGTTAGTGCCTAATTAATAGTGGGCATAATTAATCAGCATAACGGTGTGCCTTGTTTTTGGGCAAAACCAACCATTAATTTCTATGTGCTCCCAAGGCCTCCAGGTAGGTGTTTTTGATCGTTGCCTGATGCAGCCGCGGTTTTGTTACAACTTTGATCTGATTCACCCTTCTATGTGCTCCTTTTAATTAGTACTATTTCCAACTATATGCCATAGTACTATTTCCAACTATATGCCAATGGTCTCTTAAAGCTATGAACACACTAAATTGTTTAGTATTTTCATGATTAACCTATAGAATATCATAATCTCTATGTGATAAAATAATGCACTTCTTTTTTTATTTTTACATCAACGACCAAAGCTTTGTTTCTTCTTGTTAAAATAATCGAGTGTGCATATGCATCATAAAGCTAGCTATGGCAGAGGGGACTGAGTGATGGGCACTAGTAGAATATTAGTAGTAGAACAAATTAAAGCTTAGGTGGTATTTGGATCCAGAGACTTAACTTTAGTTTCTATATTTAGACACTAATTTTAAATATAGACTACTTACAAAACTAATTACATAAATGAAAGCTAATTTGCGAGACAAAATTTTTAAGCCTAATTAATCTATAATTAGAGAATATTTACTGTAGCATAACATAGGCTAATCATAGATTAATTAGGCTCAATAGATTCGTCTCGCGAATTAGTCCAAGATTATGGATGAGTTTTATTAATAGTCTACGTTTAATATTTATAATTAGTGTTCAAACATTCGATGTGACATGGACTTAAAAGTTTTAGTGCCATCTAAATAGGGTGTTAGGATAGGTCGTTGCAATTTGTCACTTGGTACTGACTCATGTTGTGACCACACCTTTTGGCCTGGCGATCGATCGGAATGAAGCCTCTGTTTTTGGTGAGAAGAAAGAAAGAAGCCCACTGTTTGTCATGTGCCTATGAGGGTGTGGCATGTTCAATCCATCAACGGATTCGGCAATAGGGCATGTCTCGACCACGGTTTTCGACAGGCAAGCGAGGACTCTTCTACACCTTTTGTCCGAAAAAAAAACTTATAGCTATATATTTGTACACAGTATGTTTCCAAATGCTTTATCCGTACTCGTAAAGAAAGTCGTTTTAGATAGCGATACAGTCTCTAAAATATAACTTTGACTTGTTTCTATAAAAATATTTATTGAAAAGTGATATGTATACTTTTATGAAAGTATTTTTCTAAGGCAAATTTATTCATATAATTTTTACATTTTTAAACAGAATTATTTATAATTTATATTTTCAAGATTTGACTTAAACATTTTACTAAACGATTTTCTTTACGAGTACATAAAGAGTATATAGTTAGAATTTGATTTTTTTTTACGAAGGGAGCACATGAGTTATAAGCGTAAATATTTATTTTGGTGGGTTTTTTTTCTAAGGGAAGAAACGAGAGCACTGCCATTCACTATTAGAAGATTCACTGGGTGGGTTCATATAATGCTTAATTTGTTGTTGCTGTGTTGCTTTGTGCTATACTTATTTTTAAAATACAATACTCTAAAAGCATATGCAAATATACATCATTAGGGTGTGTTTGGCACCCTCTTTCCTAACCCCTCTCCCTCGTTTTTCGTGCGCACGCTTTTCAAACTGCTAAACGGTGCGTTTTTTGCAAAAAGTTTATATATGAAAGTTGCTTTTAAAAAAATCAAATTAATCCTTTTTTTAAAAAAATAGCTAATACTTAATTAATCACGCGCTAATGGACCGCTCCGTTTTCCGTGTTTACTATTCTAGTTGGGAACTGAAAATAGCGAACACACCCTTATTAGTCTACCGTATGAATCAAATTATCTTTAGATGAAATAATTTATCCAACAGTGTTTGTGTACATCATAATTTTTTCATATTTTTCGAATGCCATAATAGTGTTGTTTGTAATTTAAATTAAAGAGAAATTGATACCTAAACAATACAATGTCTAATTGTACCAAGATCATAGCAACTTCGCAATCCGCTAAGTGCCAAATGGAGCCTAAGTTGATCACTTAATTAAGCCTGGAAGTTCATTTTCGTTTCTCTGCAATTCTAGTTAGTACCTAACATTCATATATATGCTTTCCATGATAATGCGTACTAGGCAATATAATTTTTGGGAATTTCCTTTGAATCAGTTTACAATTGAGTATACCTTAATTTCTGTTTTTCTCTTAGATTAAGTCGCATGGATCTTCAATTGCAATCATTAATTTGGATGTGGGGGGGGGGGGGGGAAATAAGGCGTGTTCTGCGTTGCAAAGATTAAAGTGAATCTTTGTTTAGATTGAGAGATAGATAGCTAGCTAAGCTGGTTATCTTGTCGTCTTTTGTCTCATGAAAATATTGCATCATGTACTTCGAATTCCAAAAGGTAGTTAGCAAAAAGGTGCAGAAAAAATAGAGGCACAAATGTAAAGAAGGAGGCATGATACTAGCAAAGGAAAAAGTTCTTTTGCCTGGAAGGATATAGAAATGACAAGTGGTTCAAGAATAGGTAATCTAGCAACTTTTTTCTAGACTTCTAGGCTATAATTAATCAGATTGCATGCTAGGATTCTTATGTTTGCAATCATGCAAAATATGAAATTCTAAAGTTACATAGTCATGTTATAAAATTTAATAACAAAACTAAGTTGTCTCCATTCTGCCCAAGACTGATATGATAGTCTTGGACAAATGTAACATGGGACTATCAAATTATTACAATAGAATGACTTTTAATATCGACATAAAGGACCGATATGTTTAGCGAAATATTTATTATAATTCGTTCTATTGTTTTGGGAGAATATATATATATATATATATATATATATATATATATATATATATATATATATATATATATATATGTGTGTGTGTGTGTGTGTGTGTGTGTGTGTGTGTGCGCGCGCGCGCGCGCATATACACACACGCACATGGTGAATAGTTGCCTTTTTGCGATAGTATTAGTTGTGTGGGGTAAAGTCATGGGTGTATGAATCTACTTATTAGGATTAAAATTTTGGTGACTACAAATACTACACATGCGTGAGTGTGTTTTCAATAGGAATTTAGTAAAACCAAGGATGTAACTATAATCCCCGTCTTTTTGAGCTTGTGTTATGGGGGCACACTTACGAATGTGTGTGTGATAGATAGTATGTACGTGAATCTTTCATGTAATCGAAAAAAATAGTACATAGATTGCGCTGCAAGTTTGATAATGGTATGGCTCCAACCTTTTCAAAGATAATCGATACATTCATACTTCAATTATATTTTTCTTAGTATCTCCTAATTTTCACTATAAAAAAAGTTATAGGTGCCGGTTCTTAAGAACTTATAGGTACCCGCACCTATTATTGATACCCATAACACAAGTCATTGGTGTCGGTTCAAGAACCGACACCTATGTGGTACTATAGGTTTTGTTCTAATTTAGAACCAGCACACTTTTTTTTTTGCAGGTGCTGAAAAAACCGAAAAAATATTTGGTATTTTTTATTAAGCACCTATACCCACACTTCCCTTTTGACAAGGAACATGATTTTTTAGACCCATATTGATTGACATAGGTCAAGCAAGATTCGAACTCAAAACCTCTCTCTTTACACAAAGTCTCCTTAC